TGGAAGCGCAGTTGAGGTGCTTGGGCTCTGAGCGCGGTGGGCTTCATGGCTTGCAAACGCATTTGAAACAATGGCTGCATTGGTGTTTGTTGCCAGTGAAATCATAAATGCAACAGGAGCAGCTCTGGTGGTGCTTGCAGGCCTCGAGCGACACTCACCCCATGCCCTCCATCTCTTCCTCCTCCTCCTCGGCACCATCCAGGGAGCACGACACCTCCAACCTTGGAGAGGGAGAAGCTGGGTGGGTTAAATATGAAAAATACATCCGAACCTTAAAAGTGCAAATGAATTCCTCACATGGATGTTGCCAGCTTTATTTGCACAATTTTGCAATAACCTTCCCATCTCAGGTGGCCTGCAAGGCTCTACCTCAAACCAACGTCCCAAGCACGTGGACAGGCAGACCAGTCATGCAATGGCTCACAAGCCATTACTGTCTGTGGCCTCAAGAACATGGGCAGGAATGCAAAATATCAGCGGAGGAATGGAGGGAACAAGACCTCATGTTCCCCTTGCGGCACAGGAAGAGGATATGTGGAGGGGTTATAGGCTGCTGATTTTGAACAAAACCATAATGCTAATGAAATACCCAATCCTGGACAGGAAGCACTCACTGCCAGCTTCTCAGGCGCGTATACTAAGGGGAAAAATCTCAAAAATACCTTCATAACATGCCCATTTGGTTTTGGTGGATGGGAGCACTGCTAAGCAGCAAGTCAATGAACGGGACCCGGAGGATCGCTCGCTGCTAGCACAGTTGTTTATTCTAAGGCAAACTGGTCAGTGCGAATGACTGGGATTTACGGCTCCTGCGCTAAAAATCTATCAGATGCCGGGCCCCAGGCCTGCAGGTTGTGATTGCGGGTAGCAAGCAGCATCTCGCTGCCGCGGAGGCAATGCCTACAGCTCCCAGCACTGCATGAAGAGATAGAGAACACTATACTAGATCCTCTTTGCTGCTGGTTGCCCCCTCTCTGTATTTACACTCAGTGCAAGCTGTGTTTAGTGCGACTGATGACGGGGAGAGGGTCTCTTGGCAGGGAGTCACATTGCTTTCACTGCGGCCAAGTGGAGGAAAATGAGCACGCGGGATGCAAAAAGTGAGAGTGGTTTTAGCGGCTGACTCAGAGCGGCAAAGAAACCCAGACCCAGACCCGGAGGCAGCAGCACACTTGCACTCAGCAGGTACAGCGAGAAATCTCTCCACTGCCCCATGTTCCCGCTTGGAAAAATGTTATTTGCTCTCTTTCGGGTGTCTACACCAGATGCTGTAGCAGAGAGGAATTGAACAGTCAGCTCTCCCAGGCTCAGCATAGAGATTTCAGTCCGGAGGCTGGCATTTCCCATCAGCCTGAAGAAAACCTCGGCTTCGTAACCCGGCTGCATTGCAGGAGGGTTCGGCTCTGATCCTGTTCCACGGAAAGCGGTGACAAAACTTCCTTTGATTGCAGTGGTGCATGAACAAGACCTTAGATATGAATGGCTCCTTTCATGAAACACAGTGATTTTGGAGGACTTCTCTATAGAGTTAAATAGGAATATTAAAACTACTGAACAATCTGGCATATTTTAGATTCTGCACAGCACCCATGTAAGCCTGGACATGACTTGCATTGGAGTATCTTGCACAATGATGTCTTTGCTATCAAACTACTCTAACAACTTTTGTCTAGAAGAATCCCAAACTGTTTGGGAGAGTGTAGACAAAGCTCTCATCTCACTACTGAAATGCAGGCCGCTTTTGGCACCGAACGCATTACCCCATCCTTGGGAGGAACTCAGCACGAGTTTCTTTTGGAAGAAATAGGGTGAATTTTACAGAGAAGACTACAGTTTCCAAATTTCGTGGCAAATGGATGTGAAATTGATATGAAAGAGGTCTAAACTTTCTCAGTTTAGGGCCCAAATCTACTTATTAGGTGCTCAGGAGGAGCTATCCGTTAGTTGGCTTCTGCAGGTTTAATTGCAGCTGGAGCATGAAGCAGTCAGTGCACTGGACTTCATGGCTCCGATACGCTCTGCCATTGCTCCTGAGACCCAAATCTCAAGGAAAGCAGGTGGAAAGGCAGTTTACTTGTGTACCTTTCAGGTCCTTCTGGTGTCCACCACTTTGGAAATGGGCATCTCAGCCAGCTTGCCCATGCACTACATCGAATACTTGCAAGAGGGCTGCGCAGGAGGGCGTTCGTCCCCATCCCACAGTGCCAGGACAGCCTCTGCATTCGTAGCGGAGGAGTACGCAGGGGGCTGCACTTCAAACTCAGTGCACATCTCCTACCTATTTTCTTCTTCCTGAAGTTCCTCTTCTATGGTGGGCAGACGATGAGCATCTGCCACCGGCTTAGCCTCGTGATCCCAGGCCGTCGTCACATGTGTGGCTTCGTTACTCCAGTCAGCATCCATCTCTTCCACAATGAGGTCTGTCTCCACATGATTCCCCGGGGGGATATAAACTGGAATGGGAATGGGGAAAGAGATGAAAAAGTAAGAGTAGCACATTTTGGAGGGACTTGTCTACACCAGAATATATCCCATGTTTTAGCTGTATGTTACAACTGTTACTAAATGGTGAGGTGCTGCTGTACGCCGGTCTTCAAGTGCCGCTCAGCCTTGCACAGATTTGTACGAGTTCTGGTCTCTCCTGGAGCTATGCCAGACGATGGCTGGGGGATGTGTTACGGAAGGAGGAAATTCACCACTTAGCACTGAGCTCGTCAAAAGTCCCATAAAAATATAGCTCTTTGCATATAGATGTGTATTAATTTCCCTGAGCATGCACCCACCTCCACCAATGGAAGATCGAGCCCTTCTATGAACGGGCCACATTTTGGTTCTTCTTGCAAGCATAAGCAACCATGGGGAAATGCTCAAAGCATGCGAGTACAAAGGGCTGGATGCACCCTTAAGCCCCAACCGAAATGGTGCACACAGAAACGTGGGCCACAGTTCTTCGTGCCGAAACACCATGTCCCTGCATAACGGCTCCCACGCTTCCAGAGTCAGCCCTCGCTCCCTGCGAGGGAAGCACCATGAGGAACCACTCCCAGCAGCCGCCACTGAGGATGCTCCATTGGCTCCCAAAGTGATCCCAGGTACTGACTGAGTGCTCGGATTGGGAAATATCCCTCAGCCACTGGCTACTTCCTAGCACCGCAGGGGAAACGTACGCAAATCTGTTATTCAGGAGGTCATCAGACCAGCTTTCTGCAAAACGAAGAGCGCGTGCAGCTCCAACCCAGAGCCCCATTGCCTGAAAAGGGCACTTTCCCTTGCCCTCAGTCTATCCTGGCCCAAGTCCCACAGTCCCTATGCAGTTCCTATAGCACTAGTCATGTGCCAGAAAAACAGGAGGAGGAAGTACATCCGCGTACTGTAAAAAGTTTATTGGGAAGTCTCACTGACAACAAAACTCAGGGGAACTTAGATGTCCACAATGAAATTAATAGGAAACATATGCAAGTTTAAATACAGAAAGGCAAGGAAAAAAAAAACACAAAAAACAAAAACCCCACACTTTTGATGCTGTCAGTTCTACATTATATTTATCATATCACACTCTTGCCTAGTAGTGGTGCATGCAACATTGCGCCAATACCACACTGTTTCCTTCATCTTTATTCTGCTTTCTCTAGATCTGCATTCCTTAAAACATAGGACAAGGATCAGGAAGATACATTTTAGAACACGCTGTAAGGTTTTGATATATCATATGGCAATAGGGCAAATGCTAAAATTGTAGCCTGCTACCAGCTGGGTTCAGTACAGAGATAGGACCTCTTAGTTTGGTCGTTTGGACAATAACTCATCATTAAGGCTGCCTATCTTGTCCTAAAGAGATGCAAGGAGCAGGTATGTATTAAAAAGAGTGGTATTTAGAGGCTCTTGTCCAGTTCAGTGCAGGGTGCTTGGGCTTGCTATGCCTGGCCGCGCACATCCCTGCAGGAGACGTGCCCACAGGAGGTGTTTTCCCTACTGGGAAGCTCCCGTCTCCGTGTTTCAGCGCTACCTCTAATAAGCTGCATTGCATCAGGGGGAGCAGCAGTAGTCCAGGATGTATTAAACGCACTCCTTCCCGTAAGAAAAGCCCAGGCAGAGGCTATTAGCCATTAACTCCCACCTATTCAGCTCAGGATTAATCTCACCCTCCTGTATTGGCCTTTCCACTTGCTGGAAGAAAATACTCAATTAATGGAAGAAAACACTCAATTAGTGGAAGAAAACCAATACAAAGCTGCTGAGGGGCCGAGAAGCTCTGTAATGTGATGTCTCTGTGAGGCAGAAGTAGATTAAAAGAAGCCTGGGGGCTTCAGCTGGAGGTCTCAGTGGTATCAGCATGCTATGGGGTTTTGAGAGGTTCACGAGTGGGAAGCTTTTTGCCTAAGAGGTGTCCTAACTGATGTTTTTCTATCCTTACATAAATTACAGCTTGTGTCTCACAGATATTAGT